GTTTGGTTAGAGCCTTAAGCACAATATTTAAAAAGTGGTGATAGTGAACCTCCTTTAGAAGGCATGATTTCATAGCCAAAAAGAAATAAAATCTTGTCAAGTGATCAAAGCTAGTATTACCAGTAGTGGAACAGATCAAAATCATTTAACACCTGCTGAAATGAGATGAGAAAAATTACTTCTGTAAGATCCCTATCAAAGATACTGTATATGCTGTGAATAGAAATACAAGAAAGCCTCAGACAATACAAACTAAAAGGCATCCTACAAATAACTGGCCTGTAGTCTTTAAAAAGTTCAAGGTCATAGGAGTTGAAAAAAGACTGATACTTCCCATATAAAGGGGCACGGTGACATACAAAGTATGACTGTAAACTGTATCACTTTGCTAAATGAGTTTTTGAGACAATCAGATGAAGTAGAACCCAGTTGGAGAGTTAGATGTTAGAAACATCAGTGCTAATTTGCCTGATTCTAAAAGCTGTGTAGGGGAATGTTCTTATTCATAGGAAATACCCACTCAAATGGGAATCATAAGGTGTCAGAAATTTACTCCCATATGGTGCAGGGAAATGTTTTTATGCGATATACACACTTTTTTTTTTTTTTGTCTTTTTCCTTTTTATTGGTACCGGGGATCAAACTTACGACTGCCTGCTTCCAAGGCAGGCGCTTATGCCGCTGAGCTAAATCTCTAGCCCCTATACACACCCTTTTTGTATGACTTTGCTTTTTTATTCTTGGTACCGGGAATCGAACTTGCAACCTTGCGCTTGCCAGGCAGGTGCTTATGCCACTGAGCTAAATTCTCGGCCCTATGACTTTGCTTAGTGATTGTTTCAAAATGAAAAAAGGATGAAACAAAATGAAGCCAGAGGAAGGCAAAGTTTAGTGGTGGAACACTTGGGTAGTATGCTCAAGGCCTAGGTTTGATCCTGCAAGAAAAAAATAAAAGTTAAATGTTGTAGCCTGGGCATGGTGACAGAAGGCTAGGCATGGTGTTGCACGCCTATAATTCCAGCACTCATAAGCTGAGGTCTGCCAGTTGAGACCAGTCTGGACTACATACAGAGTTGAAGGCCAATTTGAACTAGGGGGTGAGATCTGGCCTCAAACACGCACACAAGCAACCTGGGTATGGTGGTGTGCACCCGTAATTCCAGTATCCAGAGGCTGAGGCAGGAGGTTCGTCATGAATTTGAGGTCATTCTGTACTACATAGTGAATTCAAGGCCAGCCTGAACTACAAAGTGAGACCCTGTCTCAAAAAATCCATCAAACAAAAATTTTAATTAGCCGGATCTGGATGAATAGTTCAAGGCCAGCCTGGACTACAGAAAGCAACCCCATTTGAGTGAAAGGAAAGAAAACACCAAACACCCATCAAACCAAACACCCCATCAACCTTGCCTAATGCCAGAGCAGGCCACCAGGTGGAGTCCTTGGACCAGAGAGTGGGCTTTGCTAGATGGGTCCTTTGGCTGAATTAGAAAACAAGAAAAAAGTTTTAAAAAGTTCCAAATGGGTAGAAATAAAACCACAGATGATTTTGTTCATGTTAGGGTAGGTATATCTATGAGAAAGAAAGTATTTTCTTTTCAGTTCTATTTCTTTGGGCCAGAGTTTCTCAACCTGAGCACTGTTGGCCTTTTGGGCCCATTGTCCTGTGATTGCAGGGCATGTGGAGCAGCGTCTTTGGGCTCTGTCCTTTAGATGTGACTGCAAAGTGTGATCACAAAACATGCAGAATGTTTAGCTTTTTTAAAAAAATGCATTGCAGTAAGAGACATTGCCCACAATGCCTCAGAATCCTCCCCTCTGCTGGGAACACTTCCCATCCTCATGCCATTCTAGGAAGCAGCTCGGGCAGTCCTCTTTCATGAGTGACTTTAGTTGTACTGTTGTGGCCACCTCCATGTCCTGAATTGATCTGAAACATTTACCTTTCATAGTCAATCTGACTTCTGGGAAGAATCAGAAGTCACCCAGTGCCAGAGCTGGTGAATAAGGTCCACTCTGACACACGGGCGTGTTTTTGAAAGCCTGCTCTCTGTTTCGCTGCAGCGCTCAGTAGCATTCACTGTCCTTTGGGTCACACATCATAAAGACACTCGAGAAAGCACTTCTTTAGAAAGTGGCAAGAATGATGGGTTGTGTTCAAAGAGTGGGGGGAGTATTTTAAGGGATATTAATGGCATTGTTTTATTGTAATAAATTTTATTTATTTTGGGGGACAAAGTCTCACTATGCAGTTGAAGCTGGCCTTGAACTCACTATGTAGCTCAGGCTGATCTCAACTCTTAGCGATCCTCCTGCCTCATCCTCCCAAGTGCTGGGATTATAGGTATGGACCGTTGCACCTGGCAGTAATTTTTAAAAATTTAAACACACTACATTTTTTGATCAGTTCAGTTAGAGCCTTTCAGTTGTCAAAAATGCCTCTAAACATTGTCAAAGCTGCGTGGGAGACAAACATCACTCCTGGGTGAGAGCAGATTTTTGGCAACAAGCTATTCCCTATTCTGAGCCCTTTGATTCTTGCAGGCTCCACAGCAAGGGTGAGAGGTGTCTCAACATGGCAGGTGTACAGTGTGGGGGCTTTGGGGGTGGGATGGAACCCCAGGACCTGACATGGGCACTCAGTGCTGTGCCACCCACGTTGCTTATACAGGCTGTTCTAGGTATAGTGTCAGGAAAGGGCTTAGACGACCAACCAGGAAAAATAAAGCCTGGGGGTCCCAGGAGGAAATCAGCAGTCACGGTCAAGGGCAGCACATTCACTGTTCCTTTCCTAGGCACCCAGGGCCGAGTCGTTTCGCAGAACCTTGAGATGCTGGAGAAGGCTGCGGGATGTTCCTTACCATCGCCCTTCCTTGTTCATATGAAAACATCCTTCTGTTTATTTAATTCCCCACCTCTTTCCCTCTCCATCTTCTTCCTCAGTGACCACCCTCAGCTGTCTTAGGCACCCTGGCAGAGCCCGAGTCTGATGCAGGAAGCCCTCTGCCGGTATTTACCTATTACCGGTAATGCACAAGCAGCAGACAGCGCTGCACCCCGTTTCAAGGGCACGCTACTTCCGCCATGTTGTCCGTGCAGGTCATGTTGTCCTTTAACTTTTAAAAGCCCTGTCCACTCGCCTTCCCATTAACAACATGTATTCTACCAAAGCAAAATTCTCGCCCAAGGCAAGTCATTTCCCCTCTGTGGGCCTGTGTCCTGTCAGTGAAATGACCCACTTAGAAATGACCCACCACGGTCTTTTCACTTAGAACCAAATCTATAAGCACATTCTGCCTGACCAGCTTCAGAGAATCTTCACCTCGAGGTTGGGCCATTTGTGACCAGACATTCTGGGTGGCCAGTCCCTTTTTGTGTGGTGGCATTTTGTCACTAGCGTTTTATCAATAGCTTTTCAATACCCCGTCCTACTGGTGGCCACGGGCTGGCCAAACCAGTGCAGAGAGAACAGGCGCTCCCAAGCTTGCCTGATTGGCTTCTTATAATTAATGTTCTTTCAGATGTAAAAGAAGGGTTTTGTTTTTTTCTGGATTCAGCTGTAAGCATCCGCAACTGTAAGGTCTCAATGGACGAAGAATTGGTGTGTATTAATGTTGGGTCCTAGGGGCTAAAATGGGGCCCTGCACCCAGAGTACTTAGTAAGTTGCAGTCGCATGGGGGAGGTGGATTCCTTATGGATAGTTTCCTAGTTTTGGTGACAGTATCCCAATCAAATGCCTCCACCATCTTGCTTTGCCAACTGTGTCCATTCGTGCTTGTGGTGGGCTGCGTCCCGTTGTGCGGCTGGCCCCATCCCGCCTGCTGCACGCTTCTCCTTTCTCCTGGCATGGAGCTCCCTGCAGCCACCTTCAGCTGCCCACGTCTGGCCCTGTGGCCACCATGGATGCACGGCTGAGCATCAGTGCAAGGCAGGCTCCCCAGAGTGCTGTCCTAGGAAGAGCAGAGTCAGGAACCACACCCAGAAAGTGTCCTCTAGGGGCTGGGCCCCGGGAGAGATGGTGGCGATCTTGTCATCTGTTTCATCCACTGCTGAAACAGCCTTTAAAGAGAGGGCACCGCTGCTGCACAAACTGTGTCCCAACTTAATGTTGGCCCCAGGTCCCAAGGCCTGTCACAGTGTGCCCGCAATTCTGAAGCCAGAAAACCCTGGTTTCCTCAGACAATGTCCTTCACTCACTTTTGTTTCTTCCTAAGTCAGTTCTAGTGGGTACATTTCCTTTATCTGCAGTTAAAGGATTGTGATGGGTACAGGCTTCTGACCTCACACAGAAAACCTGGGGTAGAAGTCCCACTGGGCATGTGACCCATGGGTGCAAGTTCAGTGCCTGTGCTGCCAAAGATAAGCTGTAACCTAACTAAATGGCGCTGATGCTGTAGGTGTGAGGCTCACACAGTGATGCCAACCATTTAGAGCTTTCAGTGATAGCTAGCTGCGGCATGTGTGCCGTGAGTTTGCCATCACTGGTCTAGGATGTGGGGGCTCCCCTTTGACAGGTGGAAAATGATCCTGTAGCTGGGGGCTCTACTTCCTCTCAACTGGGCTTTGGTGGACAAAAAGAATCCCTTTGCCAAAGGACATGATAGAGTTGGAACCCTGGGATTTCTCAGTGCTTCCTTATGCTGACATCTGTTAAAGCTTAGCAGAGACCATCCACAGAGTGAGAAGCAGATTCTGAGCGAGGCATGATGGCATGCCCCTGTATTTTCAGCACCCTGGAAGGCTGAGGCAGGAGGATCACAAGTTCCAGTCTAGCTTGGACAACTTTGTGAGACTCTGTCTCAAAACGGAACAGACAAAACAAAGAGGGATGAGGATGCGTGGCTGATGAGTGTGAAGGCACTAGGTTTAATTGTCAACCCAGCAAACAAAACAAACAACAGATCCCAAAACCACAAAGTGACACCTACAATGTACATTTGACCCACTGGCCAGCACCCAATGTTTTGTGCCTTGAAAAAAAATACGGTCTCCTGTGCCATGAGATGTTAACTCTTTTATTAATTTAGGGTTAACATTGCTTTTTTTTCACTGATTTCTTTCTCAGAGTCATGGATTCAACAGACAACTGCTGGCTTCTCTCCAGCTCACAAGTGACAAGGCAAACACATTACAGTCAAAGAGGGGAGGCGGGACAATATGGAGAGAGACGAGACTGAGAAAATTTAAGGCAAATGTTACTCCCATATTAATGGGAATTGATCAAGCAGATCTGTGCATTTCAATGAAAATATATGAAATATTTGTCAAAATAATTAACATTGGTAAAAATTAGAACACGTAGCTTATAAAATGCCTACACAGGTTTGGCAGAAATCAATCCAGCTGTGTCATGTAGGCTTATACTATATACAGACACAGGAGATCCACCTCGAGAGCAGAGGCCACATGTGTTGTAAAAGCAATTCTGTAAAATGGGAAGGGATGGATGACCAATGACTCGCGGGCTGGCTTTACATTTTGTTAAGAGGAACTGCTTGGCGATCAGGGTGTCTTCTGGGTAGCCCCAGAGAGCCTCCTTTGGACCCTCCTCAGAAGGTTGTGCATCAGCTTGAGGTGGTTGTCCAGGCCCAGGAGACTCCTACAGAACACAGGACAGCTTGGCTTCCTCGGAGAGAACGGTGCAATCTGGGTTGGCAGTGGACTTTCTAGGACACTTGTGCAGTTTCCAAAGAAGCGGACTGCATAGAACCTGATTCCATCCCCAGTGGTCATGTGTTTTATGCCCCAAAACCTATTTTATTTACAGTCTGACTGATCAGTCCCCCGGGATGCGCAGTGGCAGGCAGCAGGCAACCTAACTCTCCTGCCAGCTAGCCTGCGGAGATTTACAGCCGAGCCGCATAACAGCACAGGAGGCGGGTGATACAAGATGCCAAGCATCTTTCCTTTCTGCTTTGGTCTTGAAGATTCAGTAAACTTAGGATCTGAAGCTGGAGCTGTGGATTCTCCGAATGCATGTTGTTACCATTCTGAGCTTGCCAGAAGGCAGTAGCCAGTGAGCAGAGCTGGAGAGTGATCACTGTGCCAGGAGCTCTTCCTTAGGGACCTCCACCTACCGGCTTGGGTGCCTCGAGGAGCTGAGGGAGGACCTGGCTCCTGGGGAGATAAAGCTGTCAGATTCGAGGCACCGCTCCCGGAACAGGCTCTGGTCAACAGTCTGGAGGAAGGTGGATGGACAGATGGATGGACAGGAGGGGCCCTGTCCTCTGTGGGCAGCGGGAGTCTCTACCCAGCCAGGAGGCATGTGCGGCAGCAGAACTGGATGAAAAGCTTCCGTTCACAGAGTCGGTTAGACTTCACCATCTCGCAGAAGGTCTCGTCAGCTGGGGGAAGGAAGAGAAAAGTCAGACTCTGGACACTGTTAAGACTGAGCTGTTCCACATTTGCTGGGCACCCATTGCGCACCAGGCAGAGGACATGCAGAGTCCCCTTCCTGCCATATGCCTCCCTGAGAGGTGGCACCTCGTATACAGGGTCTCATGGTAAGTCTAAGTGACAAGGGGTATTCACAAGGGGGTGTGGGGGTGCTCCAGGCTGGGCAGGTGGGACCCTTGGAAATGGTCCACATGTCTTTCCAGACACCTGTGCTGGTTGGGATTTAGCAGGACTCCTGGGATGCAGGAGTGTAGGGCTAGAGCTGGATGGGAATGTGGGCTGCTGCCATGGTCCAAGGAACACTCCAAACAGGGAGAAGTAGGGACTGGATGTCATGGGGACATCAAGGCAGATGGACAGGTCTCAATGATGAAAGAGCTGAATGTGAGGGACACAGTCATGGGTGCTGGCCCCGGCCTGCTGCCTTGTCGTTAGGACGCACTGTCATTAGTGGGACCTTGGACCTCTGAGGCAACCTCACTTTCTTGGGCTGAGTACACAGCCTAAGCAGGTGACTTCCTAAACAGGAAGCCTCTTGGCTTTTGAAGGGACACTATCCTCTAAACCAAAAAGTAGCCCACAACAAGGTAAAGATGCCACCTTGTGGTTCGTCTTAGGCAGGGCAGTGCCAGCTCCTGCCAGGACACCACAGAGCCAGCGGAGCTTCCTGCTCCTGCAAGTCAGGACATGGTGCCCAGAGCCGGTCCCATGTGGCTCCTCATTGCTACTGTGGAACCAGGGCACCTGCTATGGACTACCTGCTAAAAGTCCCTGCCTCAGGTCTCTAGGACAGTTTTCTGTCAACTCTTCCTCTTGTCTGCAGTCCCAAATTGAGCAGTCTTTTGTCCCCTTCTGTGGTGGTTTTTCCAGCCTGTGTCTCTCACCACCCACCTGGAGAACCAGGCTTCTCCCACAGCACAGATGTGGGGCTCCCTGCGAGCAGTGCAGCTTGAATTTCTGCTGCCAAGAGTGGGCCTCGACTCTCAGTTCTGTCTTCTTAGTTCTGGGCTGAGACCCTCTAAACCTCTTGGCTTTGACCCCCAAGGGTCCTCAGGGGAAGCTGCTACTGGGGCCTGTGGCATGAGGGTAGGAGTGGTACAAGAAAGAAACCATTTTTAAGAGTCATTCAGCAGGGCTGGGGGTTTAGCTCAGTGGCATAAGCACCTGCCTGGCAAGTGTGAGGTCATGAGTTTGATCCCCAGTACCACAAAAAAAAAAAAAAAAAAAAAAAAAAAAAGAGTCATTCAGCAAACTGAAAGCAATGGCTGGGCTTGTGGCCATGAGGCCTCCTTGGTCAATGTGTGACAGGCCTCTGGGAGCACTAGATCAATCAAATCAGGGCTGAGCATTCCATCTCAGGGACCCCCATGCTTGTTTCCTCCTTCATCCAGAGGTCAGTGGGCTGTGCCTTTCCAGCCACCCTCATGGTCACTTAGGCGCTCACCGTTGCTGCACGTGAGGTTGCTGATGCACGAGGTCCCCAGCTGCATGAAGCCTGCCTTGCACTTGCTGCAGTTCCGGCTGGAGCCCTCACAGCTCAGGCAGTTGTCCTCGCACCTGGGGGAAGACACAGTCTCCTGCCTCACTGGGCCACTGGTGCCTAACCTCCTCCACCCACGTGGCTCCCACAGCCTCCAGAAGCTGCCTGGCTGCAATGGCTGCAAGGCTGGGGTCAGGGCCAGATTCCACGCAGTGAGGTGACAAACCCGATGTGGAGCTGACATGAGGATGGGGTGTCGTTGGCCGCCATGCCTCCTACCCCCGGGAGGTGGGGATGCCAGTATCGTTCCTGTCCCTCCTGGATAGTCCTGACCCACTGTGGGGCCAGCGCTTCTTCTAATGCAGGACACCATGACTCAGGGTGCACCAAAGCTAAGGCCTACGCCCAAGAGTGTCACAGAACGTACGTTCATTTACACACAGTCTGTGGCTGCTTTGTGCTGCAGTGGCAGGGCTGAGGGCCGGGATGCCCCCAAGGCATGAGAGACTTCCCTCCTAGCCCTTGACAGAAACATCTCGCCTCAAGACCAGTGCCCTGCCCTGCACCTGCTAGCTTGTCCTGCTCCAGTGACCACACACTGCCTACCTCGCCCAGGGGCACCAGATAAGAGAGGAACAGGTCCTACAAGTGGAGCTCAGAGGGTAGGGCATGCAGGATAGGAGCCCAGCTCAGCGATGCCTGAGCCTGCCCTGTGGGTTCCATGCTGAGGACAGAGGCCTGGTGGCCCTCTGGGATGTCTTTGGTACCAGATCAACCACCAGGCTCCTCATAATCATCTTTTGAGGGCACCCCTTGCCACTATCACGGGGACTGATATGATCAGGGTGTCTGCTGCTGCACTCCTGAGACAGGATGAGATTGGTTTTTATTCAGTTTGCCTGAGGACCACAGCACAGTGTTCAGGAGCTTGCAGGGGTGGGGGGCACTGGGATCGGGCTCCTGTCATGTGCTGTCTCAACACAAGTCATTGTACCTCCTGATGGCTCAGAAACAGGCCCCAGGGCCACGCACAGGGCATGATGTTTCACTATGGATGTTTCTGGCATCTCTTATACACACACACACACACACACACACACACACACACACACATCAGTGCACAGCAGCTGGCACCGGGCCCAGCCAATCATGGGACATTAGCCATCCAGGAGGCCCAGGGCCTGGTGCTCCCAGGCCGAGGCTGACGGTTGTTTTGGCCATGAATGGTGTGTGTGTGTGGACCAAACTCGGTGAGGAGTCTCAGTTTTCTACTGTTGCATTATACACTTCCAGTGGAATAATTTATAACTCAGCAGCAGTTCTGTTGGCAGAAGCCCTGCTGGGCTCAGCTGGGTTCTCTGTGTGGGGCCTCCAGGCTCAGGGCATGGTGGTGCCCAGCCTGGGCGCTCATTTGGAAGCCTAGGAGAAGAATTCAGCATCACCCTGCCCCGGAAGTGGGGTTACCATACCCCATGCTCATGGCCCCTGCTTTCCAAGTCAGGGTTACTATGCTGGCGGCTGGTCTCCTGGGCAACAGGCTTTCTATATGCCTCTGGTTCTGGTGTACCTACTTCACCCCAGAACGCCATGGCAACTTTGCCCTGCCAAATGCTGCAAGGACCGTTGTGCCTACAGCCACCCTCTCCCCACACCGCTGTCAGGGCCACTGCTGGCAGGATTCTCCTGAATGCTCCAATCTCAAGAAGGGCTGGTGGAGGCTGCCCACCTCCTGTCTCCTGAGGGCTGGGGCCTCATGGCCTCCGGGTGCTGCATAAGGCTCTGGGTGCCACAGCTGTGGGCACAATCAGCTTCCCCTGGAATCTAGGGCATTTGACAAATGAAAGTGATTATCACCATTTAGTTCCAAGTTCTCCCTGGGCTGCCATTCTCAGTTTAATTATCTGGAAACCAGCTGGCTGGGGAAAATGAAAGGTTTCCTTCAGACAACTGTGCTGGGGATTTTGGGCAGGACTCAGCTGGCTGGGAGACAGTGGTCAGTTTCTCCTCTCACATCAGCCCCCATCGAGGAGCTGACTTGCAGACACGTGCAGCTCCTGCCGTCTCTCCTCAGCTCACTGTGTGCTTGTGGCCAAGGGAATCTGTGACAACCTAGAGCAGTTCTCAACATAGCCTGGGTGCAGCCCCCACGGTGAGGCTCCCCACTCTTCCTCTGTTCCAAGTCTATTTCAGAAAGAAGGCTTCTCCCTCTCGCCCTCACAGCCCACCCTACTGTCACAGTCAGGTGGCCTGTCATCTTCAAGCTCCCTGCTGCTCTCAATCTGAACCCTACAGGCTGCCCTGTCCCTCTCTGTTCCTGGGTCTGGGTTCATGATGTCTCGTGGGAACTGTTGGAAAAACAGAAGGGACCAAAGCCCATGGCTTCTCTTTGAATGGCTATGTTCCAACAGCAAAAGGAAATGCCACACAGCCTAGAGCCACCATACCTGTGGTCCAGAGCCACCACATGTACATATATATGGGAGGGACAGAAAAGCATAAGGTTAAAAGGCATGTGCGCTGACTGCACTGGGGTGGCTTCACAACAAAGAGATGCTCAGGGCTTTTAAACTGTTCTCGAAATACCTGAGAGTTGTTTCAAATTCCTAAGTGCGGCCTCCTTGATTATCAATGGCATGAAGGCATCCTGGGCAGCATGGGTAGGACCAAGCTGTGCAGCCTGTCATGAAGGTGCCACCCTATGGGGCTCTCTGGCTACTGCACCACCTCCCAGGGTCCAAGTCCAGACTGTACCTCCGACACACTTTGTGGGGAAAGCCAGGCATCTCCTCCGGGTAGTAGCCCTCACTGCAGGCTGGCACACATTTCCAGTCTTGGAAGGAGAAGTTTTTTGCACAGTGAATGCATTCCTCCCTGCTAGGCCCTAAGAGGAACAGGAAAGAAGCAGAGGTCAGGCCTGATGGTCACACCCTGCACCCGCTCCAACGCCTGTGAGAATCTTGGTAATGTTCAGAGGTCCAGGCTACCTACACAACTGGGCATAACCCACATACTCCCTAACTCCAAAGGGGTGGCTGTCATCGTCCGTGCTTCCTGGCTGTGTCAGCGGAGGCATGAGCTGGTCTCATTGGAGAGCGCACCTCCCACCTCCCCATCCATGCTCCCTTTCCCAGCAGGTGTAGGCCCTGCTTCTGCTGGGGCCACTCAGCAGCCCCAGGGACAAACCAAGATGTGCTGTAGGCATGGAACACACACACACACACGCACGCACGCACGCACGCATGCACACAAGCTGGCTGTCAAAGTCTTGGTAGCCAAAAGAATGCCAAATAGATCATTTCAAAAATATCACTGCATACTGTAGTAATAATGTTGTAGAGATGCTGAGTTAAGTAAGAGTTGTTACTGAAACTATTTTCACCTGCTCCTTTTTACTTTTTAAAATGAAAGAGAGAGAGAGAAGAGACAGAATCAGAGAAAGAGAAACACAGAGAGAGAAACAGAAAGAAACAGAAACAGAAAGAAACAGAAAGAGAAACAGAAAGAGAGAGAAACAAACACACACACACACACACACACACACACACAGAAAGCGGGGGTTGTAGCCAGGGGTTGTAGCTCAGTGCAAAGGCCGTAGGTCAGTGATGGCCAACCTTTTAGAGCTGAGTGCCCTAACCACAGCCCCAAACCCACTTATTTATTGCAAAGTGCTAACACTGCAATTAAACTTGAATACTGACATTTTAGTTTAGAAAACACAACTCATGTATTAACATCTTTTGTCTTAAAAGAAAGTGCCATAGGTTCTCTACCACTGCTCTAGGTTCTATCCCAGTATCACACAAAAGGGTGTGGGGGAGGTGGGGAAACCCCACAACTTGGCCTAGAGTCAGTGAGCCTCCGCCTGAGAGGCTTGCACAGGAGGACATCATCTCATGGGTTCATGTGTCGGGAGCCTGCCCTCAGTGTGGTGGTATCACACTGGCCTCTCCCCTTCTCTGGCTCCTGGCACTGTGATTCCACACAGCACAAGGTCCTCTCTAAAGCTGAGCGATGTTAGCCCCAAGCTCTTGTACTCTGTACTGCAAGCTAAATAAGTCTTTTCTTCATAAGTATCCAGCCTCAGATATTTTGTCACAGTATCAGAAATTGGAACACTGGAATTGTTCTGGTAGTCACAGTCTCTAGATCAATTCTTTGGCCTCCTTTTAATTTGAGTGTAGTCTCAGACTGATGCAGTGATACTGCCTCTTTTAGGAATAACTGGACTAAGGTGGGGCCCCTGCTGTGTCAAAGAAAGAGCCTTTTTGTGGTTCTGGAGTCCTGGGGAGCCCAGCTAAGCTCCTCTCTAGGTAGCCTGGAAGGAGGTCCAACAGCCATAGAACTCTGAGCTGGACGCAGAAGTGGGATCCTCTGGGTGATGGGGCCTCCATAACAGACCAGAGCTTCCATGAGAAGTTCCTTTTCCACGACGTGGTTGGAGAACCGGCCCTGACCCAGCAGGGATTCTGTGTGGTTTAAGTTGTGGATGGGCAGGGAGTTGGTGTCTCGGTTACTTTTCTCTTGTTGCAACACCCAAAGCACCGAAAGGTTGATTTAGTTCACAGTTTGTGGAAGTTTCAATCCAAAATCAGCCGGCTCTAAAGGCAGGGTGGCATGCACAGGGGCAACATTTCAAGGAGGCAGAAGGCAGCAAAGCAACAAGTCCAAAAATCAGTGGTGGCGGAGGGGAGGGGAGAGCAAGCCTCTTTTCCTCCCTTACCGTGTAAGCAGGACCCCACGCCCTCGACCCCCCAGTCTGTTGTAGCACTTACACCATCTCAGCGCCCTCCTCTTGCAAGATAAGGATGTTTACAAACTGAGGATCGTGGCTCCATGCTGAGTTGCTTAGTTAAACTTCTAAACTACTCAAGTTGACACAGTTACAGTTGGTCTCAAGCTTAGGCTTGGCTCTGGCCTCTGCACTGTTTATCTGCAGGGAGTGTCTCCATGCCAGGGTGGCCCCAGTGCACCTGGAGGGTCTGGGACTCCCTGTTGGACCCCAGGACCTAAATAGCATCCACTGCTGTTCCTCTCCTCTGGAACCCTGTCGCTTCCTTCCTTCAACACCAGGGTTCTAATGCCTGTGGATCTTGTGGTGTGAAAGGATGCTTATTCTTATTTGTACCTAGCTTAAACGCAAATTGTTTTGGCTTTTTTATTTCTGTTGGTGTCCAAGGGTTTTCATGTGCTAAGCAAGCCCTCTCTTCCGGTGAGCTATACCCCAGCCTGCTACTCAAACTATTCCCCTTAAAAGCTGATTATGGCAAAGCTCAATATATGCATGTTTCGAAAGGTTGCGTTGCAACCCATTAATGTGTATAATTAATATGCGATTATTATAATTTATAAAAAGTTGATTATAGGCTGCAGGGCACAGCTGAGTGGTAGGGAACTTGCTTAGTATGTATGAGCTTGGCCCCTACCCCACCCTAGCACTGAAAAAAAGAGATCATACATTCAGTTGGAGAACATGATGGAAAAGCTCTAGAGAAGGATGGTGCTGACAGCTGCCTAACAAAATCAACATCCTCTAACTGTACATCCACAAGTGGTCACAGTAGGGTGGTGAGTAACAGGGCGGACACTGGGTATTGCAACACTATTAGGGAGGGAAACAGTTCTATTGTGTGGTGGTTTCACAGGGTGACTACCGCCAACAACAGCTAATAACTAGAAGGGAAAGAGTATCCTAAAAATGATAGGGTGGGAGGAGACGGAAATACTAATTTCCCTGATTTGATCGCTACACACTGGATACATGTATTTCATTGTAACACTGCATTCCCGGAGTCAGTACAAATATTATGCCAATTAAAACATTTTAAAAAATGGTCCATACGGTAAACTTTATGTTCTGTGCATTCTACCACTGTAAAAATGCTGATTAAATACACATTTTCTAAGCAAACTATTTTTCTACTAAATACTAAATTACTAAAATGATGAGTTTTATGACTCAGTCAGTCTCTCCAGGATTCCATTAAGTCACAAGTCTTTCCGGCTTTTACCACTTTAGAAGCAGCCACAGACATAACGGTAAGAGCAAAATGGTTATGTGTCTGCTAATCCATCAGGCCGCATCCTTCATAGGGCCTGGAACAAAGAGGGGAAAGCCAGAAAAACACACCATCCCAGGTACTAAGACAGAAAACACTTCCTTTGCTTCTGAAATCTCTCTGGATCTGTCCCTGGGTTTTTCAATCTGCTGTTTCATGCTGTTTCTCTAAGCACAGGATGCTCATGTGCCAGGGCTGACCGTCACAGAGACATCGCTTCTGTAGGGCCCTGGTCCTGAACCTAGCAGGCAGGGGCTGCCAGTGGCTGACCAATGCCCATTTCCTAGATGGATAAGTGGAGCCTGCTTGAGTTTACTATCACACCCAGCAGTGGATGGGTGATCACAGGTTACAACTTCCATGCCAGGAAGCACTGGGCGCTGGCACTGGAGATGAACACAGGCTCATTCCCATGAAGTCACCCACTGAATGTGCTAGGGTGCTGGGCACTTGGATGCCACCAGCACTCATGCCTGACCCCAACCCTACCCATGGCCAAACCCAGGCTCCAGCGTGGGTGGTGGGCAGCAGCTGGCACTGAGAGTGGACGCCAGAAGGCAGAGGCCGGGCAAGCCTAGGTGTTCAAGGGGCTGGGCATGATGGCAGCTGAGTGCTAACAGGCCTCCGGCCCAATGTGGATCGAGATGTTTCCAGGTGATGTAGAATGGGATCAGAAGTCTGCCCGTGTTCCCAGAGGCCAGAAAGAAGCCCGGCTGGGAGGCACAGAGGCACGGAACCCGCCCTGCACCCCGTGGAACTAAATCCCAGCAGGAATGCAGAAAACAGGAAGGGCGATGAGAAAATCTATAAGGGACTCAGTAAAGCTTTTTGCCATCAGGCAGTCTGGACACTTGGAGAGGTGATCGAAGTGAGTTACTAAAATAAAACACGCCTGGGTGCTGTGAATTCAAGTGACTCTGCCATTTAAATCAGTGGACCCTGTGATGCTTCTTAGACAACCTGGGTTAAACAATGCATCAAAAAAGAGTAAAAACCACAGAGGACAGGACAGAAGGAGAGGTGCTAGGAAAGCTGCGAGGCTGCCCACAGTGGACCTCGTCCCAATGTCCAGTCCAGCAACTCCAGGGCTGGCCAGAAGGGGATGGAGGAGGGCACACTTCCCACAGGTGGCCTGATGGCAGCACAGGCAGCACTGGCTTCTCTGGCACAGTCACCCCTGGGCAGGACAGCTGACAGCTATGCGGGGCCCACAGAGCCACGCTGTGGAGGGCCACGTCCAGCCTGTGGCATTTCCACTGAATGGTATCATAGCGAGTGAAACCCTTTAATTGTTAGTGCCGCAGAAACGCAGTCTAAGGTGAGTTTCCCGGAACCGCTTAAGTGCTGGGGGCGGGAAGGAGAGCTCAGAGGAGAGGACTTCACCTGAAACACATCTGAGGCCACAAACTCAAGGTGCGTTTCAATCAACTTGTGCAGATAACTGCAAAATGAAATCCAATAAAATGAAAGAAATCTCTGATACACTCTGCATAGAAACTGTGCCTGGAGACATCTGTGCTATAATCTTTGTGGGGAATTATAATGCATGTAAAATTGTTTATAGCAGACTTTCCCCGTGTGAATAAAAGGTTCAAGATAAGTGAAGATAAAACACCGCCACCCCCACCCGGAGCCGTCGTTGCCCATGTGGGAGGCCTCCGCATCTTGGTGGCGCTGCTTTTCAGGCTATTATGTGCCAAGAGAAGAATTCCCCAGCAACACTGCCTTCGCAGGCCAGCAGCCCCGGTGTCCCAGCAGTGGAAACCAAGCCAGTCGGTGGATGCTTTCCCACAAGGGATAAAGGATGCTTGCCGTTCCTTGCTCTGAGAGAGCCTTTGCATTTTTTTGGTTGCCTTTTGTTTTCCATTTAAAAAGTGTGGCATAATTTACATAACACAGAATTTACCATTTTAGCCATTTTTCCACAGTACTGGGGATTGAACCCAGTACCTTTCCACAGGGCTAAATCCTCAGATCTTTTTTCTTCTCTCTCTCTCTCTCTCTCTCTCTCTCTCTCTCTCTCTCTCTCTCTCTTCAGGCAGGGTCTCACTAAGTTGCTCAAGTTGGGCTCAATTTGTGATCCTTGTGCTTAGCCTCCCACAAGCTTATGATTACATGCATGCAACCCCGTGTCCCTCAACTAGGCCATTTTAGCCATTTTTGAGTGTACGGTTTTGTACACATGGAGCATATCCACACTGCTATGCAACGATCACTACCATCCACCTCTAGAACACTTTCAATTTCCCAGACTGAAAGTTAGTACTCATTAAAAAATAGCTCTTCATTCCCCAACCCCAGTCCTGGGAGAGTATCGTGTTTTTACAGTCTTTCTTCTCCCCTTCCCTCCCTTTCCCTCTGTCTCTCTTTCCTGTAGTACTGACGGACCACCGCCAGGGCTCTGTGTATGCTAGGCGAACCTTCTATCACTGGCTGCATCTCTAGCCCTGGCCTTTGTGTTTTAAAGCTGTAATAAATAGAGAAGGCCACAAGAAGCTTTCTTAATATCAGATAGCCAGTCTATCTGCCTTGGTAACCCTGGATGTAACTTTCTAAGGAAACAAAGGCCTTTGCGGGCCATGAACTCACCCACACAGGTTCGGCAGGTGGAATGGCATTCCATACACTGGATCAGCTCAGAATCAAAGTAGGTACCCGGTTCACAGTCTGGAATGCAGCTGCCCCGTGCAAGGCTGTCCGGAAGAAAAACAGGCTCATTCTCACATCCGTTTCAAAAGCCTAATTAAATTATGATTTGCCCTCAAATGCCTTTCTGGGAGGAAATGAAAGTTGTTGAAGCACAGTGCTTTGTGTCATTGAAGAATCCGAGCCAATTGAAGCTGGCAAAGCTGTCCTTGAGCTCACTGGAGATCTCCGGGCTTTGGTCCTGGTACAGAGGCCAAGGCCTCTCTCCTGCTCTGTGCTGGCTTCTCTTCACTGCTGTGTCTAAACCCAATCTAACCCCAAAAGGAGAAATGGAGCGTGCGGGGGTACCACTGGAGCCATACTGGCCCAGTCTTTGACCTAAGTCCCCTTCGAGGGGGCAGCATTAGCAGTGTGCGAGGCGTGCGAAGAGGGTGTGAACCACAAGCCTGACCCTGAGGCCTGCTTCTCCCTTGCTGGAAGACTTCTCAGCTCCACCCTGAAGCTGACGTCAGATCTCTGGGAGCTGGCAGGCCAACCCATTGTAGCTCCCACCTTCCTCTCTATCCCATTAGAGCCTGCCCCCCTTTGCTGCGTCCAGGCATCACAGGGATGCAGACTGAGCTGGACCACCCATACTAAGTCTGGTTCCACTTCTTTGCAGCTGTGCAACCCCAGGCAAGCTAGCAAACCTCTCCGCACCTCCATCTCCTCCTGCTAACTGGCTCCTACCACTGAACAGTGCTTGGGGAAATTCACTAAGCAAATACATGAAACTGGTGTCTGGCACCTGCAGAGTAAATAAATGTCAGCTACCACGATTTCTTTAGTTTCCAAGATCATACTGTATCTGATGCACACGCTTAGAATGGGCTTGCCACTAAATATAGCAAACAAGTGCTCTGGGGTACATCTGTCAGGTCTCAGAAACCTTCTGAAATAGTGTGATTTATAATTAGGGATCTGTATTTGGCTTTTCATCTTACACACAGCTCTTAAAACCCTTGGAATCAATACGGCGATAAGTGTCTTTTCCCACACTAATAAGCTGACTGATGGCCGGGGTTCCGGGGAGCCCGAGGATAGGGGTTGGTTGCCAAATGAATCAACTATATAATCAGAGGGATGGAATTTTCAGCCAGACAACCCCAATCTCAGAGCAGGGGAGAGGGGTTGAAGTTGAACACTGAAGGCCAATGATACAACTCAGGTCCCCATAGTGAAGGGCAGAATTGACAGAGCTTCCAGGTCAATGATCCAGAACACGCTTCCTATTGGGAGGGCAATGTGTCCTGATCTCACAGGATGGATGCTCTTATGCTGTGGACCTTACAAATGTCGTCCTATTATCCCATCTGCTGTTCACCTATTTCCTTTGTACACGCTTTGTAATACATGTGTAAAGGTAAGACCTCTCCCTAAGTTCTGTGACAGTACAGTAACTCATTTAATTCAAGAAGGTTGTGGGAACTCTCATTGGTTAGAAGTATGATTTACAGCCTGGGGTTTGTGATTGGCAGCTGAAGCAGGGGAACTTGGGGAAATAAACCTCCAACCCATGAGACCTGACGTCATCTTTAGTAGACAGAGACAGAACTGAGTTAGGTTATAGGCCCTCCACTGGAGTCCACTGGAGAACCACATTGCTTAGGTAAGGAAAAGCCATACGTGTTTTGGTGACCAGGACGGAAGTGTACTGTGCTGACTGTGTGAGGGCGGGAAAAACACTCTGGTTTTTCTGACTTTTCCTAGCTGCATGTAGTAGGAAGTGTCTGCAGGCCCGCCAGCTCCCTGCACCAATGGTGGATATCCACCAGGGCTCAGCCTCATTATGGTGGCAGGCCCGTCAAGGGGAGCCATTACATCATATCTTTAATAACGGATGCTCCCCTGCGAACCCTGCCTGCGTTTATCCCCTAAAGAGATGGATGGCCAGGATGCAGAGGCTCGACTGCTCTCTCATGCTTTACTTCGAGAGCAATGATTTGAAGTCACAGCTTATGAGGATATTGAGCAATAAAAGGAAGCTTGCTGTGGATTACGGCTGGTGATGCTTTCAGAGTCTGCATGCTTCTCTGAAAATGTATCACAGCTGGGGCCACGGGTCCTAGAGCGGTGCCAGGATGGCCACTGCCCCAGAGGCACTTTCTCCCCAGGACACCTTTCTGGAACCCAGGATCTGACTTACTCTCCCCTACAGGAGTCAGAACAGGCTCCCTGGGATTTGCCAGCACTTCTCTGCTGGGAAAAGATTTCCATGGGACCTTCCCTCCTGGACACTGCAGTTATCCCAGGGACAAGGGCCACAGAAAGAAGTAACAATCACTTTTGACTGCCTGGCCAGCAGGGCACGGGACACAGAAGCCACGGCCACCACCTGAATGCCTCCTTCCTCCCCTAACACTTCTGTCTTTGGGGGCCAGCTCATCCAACCTACTCTGTCCAACCAACAGGTTTAAGGTCACTTTGGGGTCCTCCTGCAAACGCCCAGGTACTTGGCACTCTCTTTTCCCGCAGGACTGTGATCTGGAAGGATGGTCAGGCTGAAGGCAAAATCACTGAGGCAATAACCTAGTTTCCCCTGGGAAACTCCCGAGCTCCCATTTATATTGATGTCCTCGGTTGCTGCTAAGATTAACTGGGCCGACACTGGTGAGAACACCTGACTAAGAATGGAGGCGCAGTAAGTTCTCTTCCTTTTTCCTTACTCCAGAACACTTCACCTTTATGGTGAATTCCAGCCCTGGTAGCATTTGGGAGGGACCAGGCCGGAGAAGTGCACGGCAGCCTCAGGGGCCCCACTGTATAAACACTGCCCTGTCTGGACCTGCGGTGCCCCTCACCTAGGAGCCTGCTGGAAGTACTGGTCTCAGCCTTCACCCAGAGCTGCCGCATCACAATCTGCACATGGACAGGATTCCTGGGTGACTCCTGTGCTCCTGTGGGCGAGAGGCGCTGTTTTTGCCAACCCCTTCCCTCTGTTCCTTCCAGTGCAGAGCACAGTATGAGACCCTCTGCTGTGGGAGAGTCCACAGGATAATTTCAGTAGAGTGCTCTCTAGGTGTCTAGACAGTCACTGGTAATGTATATGTGACTGCACCAAATGTAATTTGGTTGCATTAAATGGGCTAAACAAACAATTCAAAATATTCTAAGCAAAAACTATGGAGCTAGCTGGGCAGTCTAGCGCATGCCTCTAATCTCAGCTATTTGAAGGGCTGAGGCATGAGGATCATGAGTTCTAGGCCAGCCTAGACAACTTAGTGAACAGTTGCCTCAAAATAAAGATAGTGAGAGAGGGAGTCCAGTGGTGGAACACCTGCAAGACCTAAGGTTCAATCCCCTGTAATGGAAAAAATATCAAGCCAGGCAGGGTGGCACATGCTATAATCCTATTGTTCAGGGAGGCTAAAACAGGAGGATCACAAGTTTGAGTTCCACCAGGGACATTTAGTGAGACCCTGTCTCAGAAGAAAAAATGAAGTTTTGGGGGTGTAGCTCAGTGTAAAGGCCCTGGGCTCAGTCCTGGTGCTGTGAAACAGATCAAAACAACAGTGACAATAACACTTGCACATTCTTCGGGGCTGAGGGGGTTACCTGAATCCTTCCTTACACATGGTACATTTTTCAGGTTCATCCATGCACTCTTTGCAGCTTGGGTGGCATTTAAGGCAGTGTTTCTGACCTGGAGAAAAACAGAAAGAAGAGGGGCGGCGTGGTGAGAATCAGACCAAGGCTAGGAGAGACGCCCTGGTTCCTCTCACTGAAGGGAACTGAAGCCCCTTCCTGGCTGGCTGCATAGAGTTGATCAGATTCAAATCTTTATAAACGTGATGGTGGCCTGGATGCTGCGACCCTCCCTCCCCACACCAGTGAGCTCACAGGGCTGTTTGCTGAAGATTTGGGGCAACACACAGTGAGGCAGGAAGCTGGTCCCTCAGTGTCCCCTGTGTTTACGTAAGCTATTATCTAAGGTGTTCACATTGGCCCCTCACCAGGTACCACCATGTGCCTGGGAGCTGAGGTCTGCTCATAACATCTTGGGGCAGCCTCCTGGGGACCACGGGGGCATCACACATGTGCAGCAGGACTGTGGTGGGTGATTCTTGCCCAGGAAGGGGGTGGGAATGGGGAAGCCTCTGCCCTGGAAGCAGGTCTGGCCCAGGGGTTTGCAAAGGCATGTGTCTTGCTTCACTCTCTGGTTCCCCACTGCAGAATTTGGGTATCCAATCACTTTAGATGTCTTTCCCTAGGGGAAACAGCCTTCCTCCCTCTCTCCCTCCCTTTATGAGAAGAAGAAGTTCTCAGCATGTAGTCCAGGCTGGCCTAGAACTCGTGGCAACCTTTGTGGCTTGTGTTGGACTGTAGGTGTGTGCCAGCACAGCTGGTGTGAGCGCTTTGTTTCACTGTCCCTCTGCCCTGTGAAAGGTCCTCAGTAGAGGGCCAGCAACAGTCTACCAGAAGAGGGGAGCTGGCTCATACAGTCTTGTGCGCAAGGACCTGTCACTTACTTTCATCAGCATAAAATCCAGCGGGACACTGGGTCACACACGTGCTCATCTCCTGGTGATGGTAGAACCCGCGGCGGCAAGACAGGCACTGAGTGGGGCTCCTGCTGGAGCACGTCTCACACCCCTTGTGACACCTGCGACAGCGCCTTGCTGCTTTGTCCCTGAAGTAGCCCAAGGGGCACTCACTCACACACTTCCTGTGGGAACAGATATGGGTGAGGGCCTCTCGGACTCACCCTGGCTTTGAGTGTACCCTGTGTTTCCTCTGGCCCCAGCATTGGGCTGAGGTAGGGCAGCTGTGTGGAGGTATTTCCTCAGAGCTTGGCTGCCCCCCATTACAAAATTCTGGGGTCACAAGGGCCCGAAGGAGACTGTTGAGCCATGGGTGCCCTTTGTCTTGCTAAGGGCGGCAGACAAGGTTCCTGAGTGCACTGTGGAGGTTTAAGGGCTAGGTGAGGACACCTTTTCCTTGGTGGGAAGTGCTGGGCTGTCTGGTTTTCTGTGGGCACTGTGATGTCAGTCTTTGACTTTTGGAACTCCCGGCTGTGGCAAAACTCTCTGTGGGTACCAAGAGGAGACTGTCTCGTGGGGCAGTAAGGTGAGCTATGTTCAATGTGTTCTCTAGGGACCCTGAGACACTGGTCAGGCCACACCTGCACCTCTGCCAGGCCCATGTGGGTTTGTCAACCAGCAGCTTTCAGGGCTATCACCCAGTGAGTGCCCTGTCTGGTCACCCTGGGCTGCCAGCTGGCTGTGTGCAGCATGTGGCTGGTGGTAAATGGGGGACTAGACAGCCATGTCCCGTGAGGCCAGCAGGGAAGCAGGAGAATATGGTAATGTCAAAAGCGAGAGGAGCTGAGTTCCTGCTACAAACACACATGCCAGGTAGTCTCAGGGGTCCGGCCCAAGCCAGAGCCATCAGCCTTGTGCCTAGGGCTCAGGATGGACCGGACAGTGTCCTCAGAGTGCACATGGCTCCTTGGGCTTTCTAGGGAGCTGTCAGGAAAATCCCACACCCAGCCAGAGGCTGCAGCTTGCTCAGGAGCCATGGTAGCCCAGTTAGCCCTGTGGGGCTGACAGCGTGGGGCCCCAGATTCACCTTTGTTTCTGGTCCCCCCAATGGGGAGGCCTGCGTATTCAACAGGCTCCATCTCTGTTTCACAGCATTTTATAACTGTGACCTCCAGAGCGACAGAGTATCTGATTTCTCAGTAATGGCAAATATTACTTGTGTGATAAGAACAAAAGAATCACTAAAATTAAAAAAAAAAAAACCCACAGAAGTTAATGTCAATGTGATCTTTTTGTTGGGGTATTACATTAAGTCCCAGCCAGGACATCAGGCTGTGTTCAGAATGGGCTACTTTGGTGCTATGCTGTGGGGCTCCAGGACGTGCACAGGGCAGCCCCAGCTCATTACCTGCCAGTCTTGGAGCTCCCCAGGCTGAAGTGGACACAGTTCAGGCACTGGTCTGCATTGGGGCCATCGCAGCCTTTGTCACCGCACTCCGGATGGCACACACCTTAAAGAAACAAGCATTTCCTTTCATCCAGAGAGATGCTTTCGCCATCACATCTGGTCCCCTGGGTCCCTGTGTCAGGGTACTGCAGTGGGCAGGGTCCTTCAAGAGGTGCCATCTGCAGGGGCTGGATGTCTACACTCTGAGGCTGGAGCAGTGCCCCTTGGGACAGGGTCACATCTGGGAACAGAGTCTCACCTGGACTCCAGCATCAGAGGTTCACCCTGTGTGTCCAACCTTTTGGCTTAGGAACTGTCTTGGATCACATATACAATGTACAGTCAATGTATATAAGCAGCATAACTGTCTCATAATATTTGTTATAACATTAAAAATAAAAAGTAGGTAAGCAGCCTGTGGGCTACCAGCTGGACACATCTGTCAATAGCATGACAACATGTAATACAGCAAATGACAGGGTACCAAGGTGAGGGAGAGATGGGGACCAGGAGATCTCAGGGGATTGGGACAGAGGGCCAGGAGCCACTGTGTTAGGCTTCTTCCTTTGTATCATCAGGTCATTACGCAGGATGAGCCAACTCTCTCATTTCCATTGTGAAGAACAAAGCAACACAAATCAGATGTTTCCTCACGTCACCAAGTATGACGATGCACCCTGATTTCTAACTGTGATCTAAGTGACAGAGAGAATGCAGGGGGTTAAGTGGATTTCTGAAAATAGCTCCTTTTGGGCCCTCCTACCCCAGGTAGGGACCAGGATGAAGGAGGTTTGAATGGCTGCTCCTCAGGCTGAGTGGGGCAAGGCTGCCGGTGTCCCCCGTCCTGGCCTGCAGTGGGACTCTGCCTCCTGTGAGGAGGTGGCCCAGGAAAACCTGTCAGATAGCTGTCGGAAGACACAGGGAGGGGCTGAGCCGGGCATTAGGAAGGTTTCTGAGGCTTTGGAATGAAAAACAATCTGCAAAATTTGAGTTGCTGGAGGAGTGGGGAAGGAGTTCAAAAGCGAAGAGGAGTTAACGTGCTGGCCACCCACATTTCTCAGGGACAGGGAAGGACAAAAGTCCTCATTCTCAGCTGCCCACAATGGGTCTTTGCTGAAGCATACAAAGCCCTTTTCATTCATGTTCAAGACTCTCCAAGTGTGTCCGGCGTTAGGCTTGAATCACTCTGCCGCCCTCCTGAAGGTCCACTGCTGTGGACACGGCCCAGGATTTCACTCTGGGGCCCATGTGCCTTGCTCCTTCTGCGAAGCCCTCTTCCTGGGATGCTCTCCTCCTGCTCACTGCTGGTGCCTGGGCTCCAGACACGCCCCATTTCCAAGGCTGGCCCCGAGCCACGCCCTCTCCTCCCTCCACGCTGCTCTACTCTTGTGGAGTTAATTCTCATCTGGTTGGATTCATGTCCATCTAATCCAGGATCATTCACAGGGGAGACCTTAGAGCTTCTTGCTTCACCATATCATTGTTTTTATTCACCCATTGAGCCCAAAACACAGGAGCTTAGCCATGGGGGCCCTGTCTTCTCTCCAGGTGGCTCAGCCCTGCAGTGGCCTTGCTGACACAGTGACATAAAGATCTGTCTTTCTTTCCCTTGCAGTGCTTTCTCCCTGGGACCCAGGCAGGCGGCAGGTCTGTCGGGAATTCCTTGATAAAGTCAGTGCTTTCCTCCATCACACGGAGGGGACTGGGTGGGTGTGGGGTTGGGAGTGACACGGAGATGACCAACGAATTGTCCCCCTCTTTCGAAGCACAGGCTCCTCGAAGGCAGGATCTAGTCCAGCCTGCTCACTGCTGTTTACCTAGTGCTGGCAGCGACATCTAGGACAGAGCAGGTGCCCCAAAGTCTTCTTTCGGGATGAAAGGAGAGTGGATGGAACGGGGGAATGCAGACGTGCATTCAGAATGTCCTAAATGTCTCATGCATGTCACCACTCCAATCCCTGTGGGGCTTCTCTGCAGTGGGAAGTTTCTTCAACCATCCTGCCAGGTACCCTTTGCCAGGCGGGGTCCACTCACAGTAGGGGAGCACAACTCCTGGATGGCAAGAAGGTCACCAGCAGCACTGAGCTCCAGAATGCAGAGGCCAGGTTAAGACAGAGCCCAGCCAAGAGACGAGGCTGCCTAGAAAGTCTCTGCAGACAGACCTCCCGGCATGCGGCGCTCTCTGGTTGAAGTGTTTTAAAAGACAGACGTCCAGGTCCAAATCTCTCACGCAAAATCCTGAATTAAATCCACCTGGCCAGCCGTCTGTGCCCTCCCAGACACCCCAAGAACATGCGGGTACAGCTGTAACTCATCTCCGAGTTAGGTGCCCCCTCTCTGGGCTGCAACCCGCACCGATGCCTGCTATTGGAATTCCTCCTTCCTCTGTTAGCACGAAGGTTCCGTCTTCCAGGACCAGCCTGGACTGGCTACTGTTGGGAGCTGCGTCTGTGATAGCTCGCCTTGCGCGGCGGACGTGCGGCCTGTGGTAAAGAGCAAAGCCTGAGGTAGATTACCCCTCCCATCGAATATGTTAGTTTCCTGCTTACCGCGTAAACAACCCGCTCAACAATATAGTCTGCCTGGCAACTGATGATGTTAGCCAATCAGCTTGCCTTGCTTACTTTAACATGATTGGACACTGTACCCGTATATATACCGGTGCCACCCCTGGGCGGAAGAAGAAGCCAGGTAGAAGCCCAGAAGTAAAAGCCCAAAAGGAGCCGCGGAGAGCGGACTGGTAGAGGCTTTGGGGCAGACTGAAGCACAAAAGGAGCCGCGGGGAGCGGACCAGAGGAGGCTTCAGCTGGGAGAACCCAGGGCAGGCTGTACGGAGAAGGAAAATAAAAAGAAAAGGTTGTCCACTACCAGACTTTGTCGTGTGTCCTTCCTGCCGGCCGGGAGCGGACATCGACAGGCTACCAGCGGACCCTACCTCAGATCCTCTGTGGAGCAAATCCAAGATTTAAAAAATACACAAACAAATGAATGCTAGGGTAGCCGCTTGAGCATTCTTGACAGGCTCTGGGGTTCCGTGCATGGATGAGCTGCTGAGGCGCAGGAGGGTTTAACAGGAGCTGCAGTAGTTTTGCCATTCACTCCATCCAGGAAAAGTGCCCCTGGCACCTCCCGTAACACTGGGGCTTGGAGTAGGGCCAGGATTTGTGGTTGATCTCAGAAGTGTTAATAAGAACAGCACAGTAACAGACTGCTCTCATTCCAAGATTGGCCTCTTATTTTTGTTGTTCTTTTTCTTTAGTACTGAGCATTGAATCCAGGGTCTCTGCACGTAGCTTATCTCCAGCCCTTTTAAAATTTGAGACAGGGCCTTCCTAAGTTCTCAGGTTGGGGCTGAACTTCCAATCCTCTTGCCTCAGCCTCCCTGAGTACTGGGGTTACCGCTATGTGTGACCATGCAGGTCCTGACTTCAGGCCCCTGTGTCTGTGACTAGAGTCACGACTGGAACCCATGACCTACACAGTTCTGCTGTGGACACAACTCCTGCACACCTGCAGAGCTGTCCTAGAGCCCCATCTTCCTGTATGGATGGTCACACTGCCCCCAGGCACCCTCCTCCCAGTCATCTTCCTTTGCTCAAATGACGGCTTCTTTCCCAAAGCCCAGGCTCCCTCCTTACGGCAGTTCTGTCCTCTCTTACAGGAACTGTCTTGACTTCCCTGCCAGTGTCTTTGTGGGCTTGCTCTTCCCACGCAGCCTGGAGCCCCCATGTGCCTGCTCCAGGTGCAGAGTCCTGAGCTTGCTGAGCCCAGGGGCACCTCCACCTCCACTGTGGCCACCAGACAGCTCTGTCCCAGGAGGCTCAGTACTGTAGCCACTGGACTCTTCTCTGGGCTCCACCCTGCCCACTGTGGCACTGGACTTTTCCTTCCCAGAGCCCTGGTCCGCAGTCCCCCTGTTCTCTAGGCCTTGCTCATCAATTAATGACCCTGCACATCCCCACCAAATAGGACTCCCTACATTCCTTTGCTTCAGGAGCTCTAGAAATCATACTGCCCTGGCCTTCGCTCAGCCTGGACAATGACCCCAGCCACTTCCTCTGCTCCCATTCCTGGGGAGTGACGCTGGCCAACTCTCTGGTGTTGGTCATGGTCACCCCCTTTGCAGGGCAGCTCTTCTGCCTGGCTCTGGCCAGGTGCCTGGTGAGGCTTAGAGATAGTCTCACTGTGTCCCTAAAAGGTCCCTGAGCTGCAGACTAGGGGGTGTAGTATTGAGGGGGTGGAATCTTTAAAAGGTCAGTCCTCATGCAAGGCACTTAGCCATGAGGTGCTGTCCTTGGAAGAGATTAACATAGCTCATGGGACTGGGTTAGTTCTCCCAAGAGCAGGCTGTTACGAAGCAAGGCCACCTCCCACGCTTGGCCCTATATATGTAGCTGGTTTCCTACTATGCCATTTCTCTGCCATTCTGTGATGCAGCCCAGGATGTCTTCCTCCCCAGAGGTTGGTCAGATGATCTCTCCTGATGCTGGACTTCCAGCCTCTTATACGGTGACTTAAACCTCTTTCCTTTGTAAATACCGAGGTTTAGGTATTTTGTTGTAGCACCAGAAGATGGACTAATGCAGTGTCCAAACTCCTTGGAGAACCCCTTCTTCCTTACAGTAGACAACCTTGCCCCCATTTGCTCCCATCCCTGTTGCTGGGCCGGGGACCACAGTTCCATCAGACTCCCCTGACCCTTTCTGACATGGCAACTGTGCTTCTGTCCACAGGGTGCAGTCAGAGTCTCCACATCACACCCAATGGACCACATGTCCGTGGCCAGCTCCCCACATGCTAGAAGTCCCATCCCACACCCTTCCTGACCTTGCCTTAGACTCCAAATTGCCTCCTCCCTCGCCTTTTTCCATGCTATGGCACACTCTTCTTTCACTGCCTCTGTTCCTCGGTCCTGTCTCTGGGTGGGCTTGTTCTGCTGTTCCTGGTCCCCCCAAGAGCCAGAAACCCATCTCATCCCCACCTTGATGCTGTATCCACCCATCTGTGCTGCTATGGACCAAGTGATTCAGAAAGAAGAACAGCATGGCAGTGAAGTTTCACTATGCAAGGCTGGAGTCAGTAGTAGATTTTCAAGGAAAAAGAAATCAGTTCTTTATTAATAATTACTGAATCTTGCCCGAGTTTATAAATCACAGGGGGAAACGGAACAGATTAGCCCATACATAATTCAATGCTCCATTTTAAAGGAATGGTAAAAGAAATTTAAGATGGAATCAACCGTAATTTATGTTTTGATTTGTACTGGTGGAATTCTCCATTTTGTTATTTTTTTCCCCCAGAGGATATCAAATAACTCAAAGCACTCACAGACTTAGATGTCACCGATCATGTATCAAGTAGCCAAAATATTTAGCTAATATGCCCAACCAGAAATACCCACTGTCACACAAATTGCTGTGAGATGGCTCAGAAAGAAAGGATTAGCTTTCAACCAAATGTAAAAACTGTATCAGCTCAGTGGTTGGAGGTGTCCAAAGACCTCTTTGGACTTCAGTGGCTCTCAGGTGCCTCAAAAATATGCTTTGTGACGTTTAGGTTGTCTAGGGGTAGCATCTTCTCTGGATCTATAACCCTGGCCCTGGTGGCTGTCACTTTTCTCCCACTGGCTCTTTTCTTGGCCATGTTCCTGGAACCCAGCTTTTCTGGCTCTTGTTAAGAGCTGGGTCCTTTCCACATTCTGGCCACTAGAAGTGGATGGGATGAGGGGAGCCAGGAAGCTGAGTGGGGAGGTGGAGGCCTCTGAGGCAAGGAGGTGTCCCTGGAGGCAGCTAATCAAGCATGGGCAAATCCCAGTTCTGGTTGGGCATATTGGGACTCAGTGTCCAGCCTGCGAAGGTCAGGAGAGTACTTACTGGTCTGACGTATACTTACTGGTCTGTAAAGTATTAGGAGAGCCTTGAGTGGGAGGAGCTGTGTAAGTGCAAACGACCATCATTATTAGGATTTCCAGGCAAGGGAAGAACACAATCATAACCCCCGCCTTTTGCCAGGAATGGCCCCACCTTTGAGTGCTACAGTGGAAAAACAGCAGGGGAGGAGGCTAGCCAGCTCCTCTTGATGCAGGCTCATTACCTGTGTAATCTTCTTCATCCTCGGGAATCTCTGCCTGAGCGGGTGACCCAGCAGCCTTGGGTGGCTCCGACTCCGGGACTGAGAGCTCCAGCATCCGAGAGCGGGACTGATGGGAACTGAAGGTGTGGTACGGGTGCTCTGCTGTGCCGTACAAAATGAGGGTCCATTCTTTCAGCTTCCCTAGAAGGCACCAAACCACAGTCACCTTGGGAGCTCTTTATGTACCAGTGCATGCCTTGGCCTGTACAAATGCCTGCTGTAACGGCAGAAGCAGCAGGTGCTGCCTGATTCTTCCTCCTACGGCAGGGCTCTGGCCCATTCATCTGCCTGCCTGTTCACCTGCTGAGCAGGTGCACCTACAGTCCAGGGGATGCACTGTTCTCCCCGGCACCTCAGGAATGCCCCTCTATTCCTGTGCTATTGAATTGCCCTCGACTTCTGGTCCCTACTAGGAGTAAGGCCAGCTGAGGTTGGATTCCACTGTCCTTCTGAGCGTCTTCAGCTCCTCTCACCTTACTGCAGACACCATCAGTGCTGCCTCTCTCATCGCTACCAATCGCCACCTGTCCCTCTGGGGACAACTAGTGGGTGAGTTGGGTGCCAGGGCTGGCTAACAGCTTTGTCCACAGCCTGCAAATGTGACACCCGACCTGTACCAAGAGGCCCTGCTTTGTGGATCCTCAACTTCAGAGCACAGACAGCCCAAGTGGGGTGAAGGGAGTTTTCGGTGCAATGGTGCTGATACAAACACAAATGTCCCTGCTGGCTGCAGGGAGGGCGTCCTCACAGCACTAGGTTGAAGGGCACGGTGGGGCACCATGGAGAAAACGAGAGGGAGACAGGAAGGGGAGGACAGCGGCTCAAGGAAGGGCCACCAGCTTTTTGCGATGGTCCAGTGGGGACCCTGTTTCACTCACTGCCTCCACGTAGAAACAAAGGGCCTGAGGAGGGCTCAGTCTGCACAAGTGCAAAGCGAAGTGGGAAATGCAGCCTGAAGTTTCCCAGTGAACTCCTGATGGCCGCAGTAATGTGTGTCCAGGACCAGCTCCATCACAGGCCATGTTTGGCATCCCCAGCATTCAGAGCAGAGCAATGGGTTTGAGAGGTCACTGCTGTCATCTGTGCACAGATGAGGGCACCATGGCCCAGTGTGACCTGCACTGGGACTCACCAATGCCCAGCCTCTTTGGATTTGTTTACAATGGGATTAGACCAAAGTGAAACCTGCTCACATCCACTGGGAACCACTGTCCCCTGCGACCAGCTGGGGACGTGTCTTTGGCAGCTGCAAGTTGGTTTCATTTGGGGAAATCCCTAGCTTCTACCTCGGTTTCTGTTACTGGGTTTTGTGGCGATCAGAATGCTTTAGGCAGGAGGAAGTATGTCTCCGCTTCTTTGGTACGCGCTGTGTTTTTACTGTCACCTCCGCTCATCCTAACGGCTCCCATCTCCTAGCTGTCAACAGCAAACATCTGTCTTTAGAGACCTGCCTATTGTCTATTTCTGCAACGTTGGCAGCTCTGCCAGTGCCCAATTCTGGGTCTCCTGGACTTTCTAAATCCCAGCATAGAGGGATCCTGCCCACCTACACACCACAGGCCTGTGGGCAGGAGTAGAGAGATCAGGGACAGCACTGGCCCTGGGGCTTACCAGGCCAAGCTCGGATGTGGCTCAAAGTGGTGCTGGACTTGAACTGGTTGTATGATGTGATACATGAGCAGCCTGGTCAGCTAAGGTACCTGGACCCCAATGCTTGCAGCCCCTGAACTGCTTGCTGCCACAGGAATGTGTCCCTTAAGTATTCATGTACTCGAGATGTAACCCTCAAATTTATGCTAATGGTATTTGTAGATGGGGCTTTTAGAAAGTGCATTTTTTTTTTTTTGCATGACCTTGTACTTACCAGGCAAGCACTTGAGCCATTGAGCTAACTCCCCAGCCCAATAAATAGTTCAACTTTTTAGGTTTTTTTGTTTTGGTATTGGGGATCCAACTCATGACCTTGTGCTTGCTGGGCAGGCGCTTATGCTACTGAGCTAAATCCCTAGCTTAGAAAGTGTTCAGGACTCGATTATCTCATAACAGTAGGACCCCCTTGATGGCATTAGTGACTTGAGAAGAAGAGGAAGAGAGATCAGAAATGGTATCTTTGCTGTGTGTCACCATATGGTGCAGAAAGACAGCCCTCACTTGATGTCAGCATCGTGATTTGACCTGTTTCCAGAACCATGAGCTAAGCAAACCTCCATTCATTATATCCAGCAGTAGGTGCAGTATTGTGTTACATCATCCAAAAACTGACTGAGACATTGCTCCACGTCAGGTCCTAAATTGCTTGAGTCTCTCTTCTGGCCCAGCCAGCAATAGAAGATATAGACAAGTCTTTCAACTCAGAAAAAAACAAAAGCATTGCTGATTGGACCATTTTCTAGGTCACTGTCTTCCAAAGGACCTGGCTCCTTGAGACACATGGATGCATCTCCCTAGTACATTTCCTAACCTAGGCTACACGTCAGAAGGTGACACAGAGGTGCTTTGCACAGAGGCAGGTGCAGAGAACACAGTCCTGGTGACAAACATGTCTCTGTCCTCAACTCTAAGGATCAAATTAAATCTATATTTCAAAACCACAAAGGAATCTGGGCTCTTTAACTACTGAGTGATGAGCTGTGATTAAGGTGGGCGTATAGGGACTCAGGGAGTAGGGACCAAGCGCTCTGGAGGCTGTAATTTGAGTGGAAATTTATTTCAGCCCTATAGGATGTGTCCAGAAACACCCACAAAGGGTCCACTCACTGGAATTAGAGTCTTATTTTTGGACATAGTTTTGGTGGGGGCAGGCAAAAGGGGCTGCTCCACCCTCAGCACTGGGTGCTCCCAGAGAAGAGAGGGAGGAGGGAGAGAGAGGGGGAAGGGAGAGAGGGAGGGAGGGAAGGGGGAGGAAGAGGGGAAGGGGAGAGAGAGAGAATTATCGGAAACTACCAGTGGCCTTGGAAGAGGGAGCTGGAGGGCAGGTGGGCGCTTGAGAATGAAAATGCGACTTCATTCTTAGACTTTCCTGGGGACAGACTTTTTATTTTTACTTTTTTGTCTTTTTGAGACAGTGTCCCACCGTGCAGTTCAGGCTGACCTTGAGCTCACTTTGTAGCTCAGGCTGGTCTTGAACTTGCAAGGCCTCAGCTTCAGCCTCCCAAGTGCTGAGATTACAGGCTTGTGCCACCACAGTCAGCCAGACTGCTTTTTAAAAAATGCCACCAACATTTACTGTTTTACCTGTTCACATATGAACATTTAAGTGTAATTTTAAAACTCTGTAAGCAAAGTAGTTGCATGACCAAAGAAGAAACATTAAAAAGAAGTAATATTCAAGGCTTTTGATTTATGTTTCTGAATAAGAAATACACAAGGAGACCTCAAAATCCCAAAGTACGAAAGTCTCCGTCTCCTATCCCCCAGCCACTGTCTCTTTCCCTATAGGGAACTTCAGGCCTCCATTTCTTTTTCCTATATTCTTCCAGAAATGTTTTATCCTTTCTCAAGCAAATATGAACATGAGTTTGCCTTGCTTCTTTTATTAACACATCTTGTAGCTGTTTGTACATCTTGTTTCTCTGTTAACAAAGTACCTGGGTGCTTAGACCCTTTCCAGGATACTGCAAAAATGCAGTATCACTTACTTAAACAATCTCCTATTGAAAGGGCTTTAAGTTCTTTCCAAACTTTTGCAATTACAAACAGTGCCGTGGCCCTGTGACATGTGGCATACATAGCCCTGGCTACACAACGACATTCAGTGATGTGGATGCTCTGAATCCTGGCTCTGCCTCCTCCTAGCTGGATGATCCATTTTCTCATTTCCACATCTAGAGATTAGGGCTGGTAATAATTTTACCTCAAAGAGTTGTAAGGGAAATTAAACAATTCAATGACACTAAGGCACTTATAACAGGGGACTATCATATAGGAGCTGCCGCCTAAGTGTTAAATCAAAGCTGGTAGACAGATCATCTGGGAATCTGCAAGTGAATTCCCAGGCCACATCCCTCGGAGTGGGACTGGGCATGGAAAGGAATGTGTGTGCTCACAGTCTGGCACTGTGGCTGGATTGCCAGTCTAGCTGCCACAGATGGGTTAACTCCGCATTTCTCTTCTGTGAGAAGTTGCGCATCTTTTCAGACTGCAGACCTAAACACCTTTCTGCTTTGATAATACTTGAAGCATGCTACGTAGGAGCTCAGAAATGTACCAAAAAACTTGCTGAGAACGAGTGCTGAGTCTTCAAAGATGCACAAAAGCACATCACAGCCACGAAGCAAGCCCAAGTGACACGAGAAAGCGTTCTGCTCACACGGCTTTACAGTTTTGTTCCTCCTATCTGCGAGGTGTTTATGAGGGCCTCCGAAGGGCCAGCGGCAGGCTAACAAGCTGCAGAGCTGGCCTACACGCTGCAGCACAAAGAACTGCAGCGAGAGGGCACGGCGCTCCAAGCACCGGATTCCTCTGTGCCTCAGGAGGTGACCTTCCCTTCCCTACCAGGTGTGTGATCTGGAAACTTGTCCTGAGGTTATGGTTTAGACAAGGGCAATTTTGCACACATTTCCTCTCCTTTTTCTTGTATGTAAGTGCTCTTTTCACTTAAGAAAACCAAGAGAGTCACTTTGGTTTCCTGTCTTCATGAGACATAAAAATAACTATTCAATACTCATGGCATGCAATGTATGGCATGAATTTAAAAGTTATTTTTCCCTAGTTAAAAAGAAGATGAATTGTTAAATAATGAAACACAGAAAGAAGAAAATAAAATTTACCTATGACTTTTCTGGCTTATTTTCTCCTGGAATAATTTTTATGCATGTGTATTTTTGATAAAATATGTCACTTTCTCCCCCCCCCCTCCCATGAATCATGTTAATCCCACTCAGAATTTATTCATGTCCTTGTTCCTTGTTTTTAGGGAACATGTTCCTCTGATCTGCTGCATTAGCTTCAGTACATGGCCAGTTTCTAGTAGATACTGAATATATGTTTATTGAATGCATATTTTTCAGTATCAGGTTTTGGAGCTGACAGAAATCACGCTGGGCCTGGGAAGAAAAAACAAGAAGCCAATTCGCCCTTCCCATGAGCCAGCCAGTGCATGGGGTGGGTGACAAGAAGAGCGCCCCCAAATGGCTGCTTCA